CTTTTTCGCTGTTTTTTGTCTATCTGTTACGTTTCCGCTATTTTTTGTATCGCTGTTCGTTTTCGTTTCCTTATCGTTCCAGATTGTTTCGAATTTCAATTCTTTTTCTACTTTCAATGTTACCTTTTCTTTTCCATATTTGTTTCTTTCAATTTGTTTCTCTCTCCACACTTACTTCTGATCGTTTTTTTTATCATTTTTCTTTTTAGAAATCAAGTGCTTGCTTCACTTGTTTGACCTGTACCTGTCGTGCCCTCTCTCATAATTTATATTATTATTTATAACGATTAATAAAATTACGTTCACTCCAAGCCAAAATACTTCTAAGTTATTTTTAGGATGTACCTAGTTAGAAAGTATTTTTTACTTCGATGTAACGTTGAACGTTGACAAAACGGTTTTTACGTCTCTTTCTATTTGCGTTCGAAACACTCGATTTTTGAATGTGTAAGTTAATATTTCAGCAATATTGGAGCGACGTTACAAAAAAAAAAAAAGAAAAGAAACTGCTACAAATCTCGCGATTAACGGCATGACTGTCTCTCAGTCTCAATTTATTCGTGTTGCCCCTCACTGCCCTGTTTTGGCGGTAAAAATCAAGTAGCAGCTTGCATGGCAATGTCGTGTTTTAAGAACAACAAATAAAAAATCTGTTTCTATGACAAGCTGTGCTGTTACTTCTTTCGGGGCGCTGGCAATATTGCGTTTTTCTCGGAGAACAAATCGAATCGATAGTATCATAATTTTTGTGTCTATCGTAACGACAATAGTACAATGTAAAACACATAGTAATTAGATCCGTTATTATTTTCGTTGTTATTATTATCCGTGCGTTCAACTCCTATTTTGTTTGTCAAGAATCATGTATCGTTGTCGGTTATCGTAAAACAACATTTTCCGTATACGGAAAATGTTCTTGGGCCAATAACAATTAGAGATCTTCGTGGTACATATTTAACACTTCCGTCTGGACTTCAGTTCTTTGAATAATAACTATTTACTACTTCACACGATTGTGAACACCGTTCTTGCTGAGAAGGTGAGAGTATTTATTAAAAATGGTATCAATAATTAAATAGTTGTTGTATCATTGTGATTATACTAGGTGTCTCATTGAAATAAATATTAAACAATTCAACATGGACAGAGGAACCATCCATTTTTGCTAAAATATTTTGTGATTTATTATTCGACAATTTCATTTTCGATTTGGATTCTACTGCGAGTTTATATCGTTCGTTATAATATAGATGATGGAAAAACGATTATTCGTTTATGAAACCGTTTAGACAAGCAAATTACAAAATCCTTAGCCTCGGCCGATCCGTTGAGACACCTCGTATATAGCGTAGCTGTATTTGCATTCGAAACAGTAAGGATCTGAGTGTTTAGAAAGAAGTATAATCATGTAACTTAACTATAGACGAGAATACATACAAGTAATTATTTTTATGCGAGTTGAACGATCGAACGATAGCCAAAAAATCAGTAGCTTCGACTCATTCACTCTGACGCAGTTACATTGGGGCGTGTGTGTGTACCAATTAAAAACTGTGTGTTCGCCTAGGAGAATTCCATAAACGAAGCATAAATATCGTTTTAATTTTTAACGAGTTCGATCATTTCGCTGGTTTCTAGTAATACAAATGAAGGCCGGTATCCTGCCCATAAAGCGAGGCAGTTAGGTCTAAATGGCGCTAAATTGAAAGGGAACCACAAAGAAAAAAGCCTTTAGTTAAAAAAAGGTGAAAATTTTCTCTTTACTTTAGCATAAGTAGAAATCCATGCTCCGGGGGTCTGTCTCAAACGAAAGAAAATTGTTTGGCACGGGTCCGTCGAGGAGCCGTATGGAAATCAACGAGAAGACTATCACTTTGAAAGGAATAAGTAGATGAAAGCTAGATTAAATAATAATTACAAGAAAAAAAGAAGAATATACATTATAGATGTTTTATGACATGGCAACTAATTGTAACATTATTTGCTGAACATCGAGAAACTGTATTATTAAAGTGTGTATCTATCAAATATTTGAATACTTGATAAACGTGATTTATCTTCCTCTACTTCTCGTTATTTTCATATCGTTCCTGTTCGTAGCTCAAATATTCACGATATTTTAGCTTCGATGATGGGAAAGAAACGTCCATCGTCCAAATAGCGTTCCTCATATTAAAAACGTAAGCTTTCGTTTCGCGGGATTTTGTTGCATTTTTTCTATGTTCGTTTGAACGTATTGTTGGGGTTTGTATCATTAAATAGTAAGAATCTTATTGTTTAATAAATTTTGAGTGCCTAACGTGTGACGATCTCTACGTTTTACATTTCACTTTATGTGTGCGTATTTTCAAAGGATTTTATTTTCCTGTGTATTCGCATCGTTTTTTTTTCTTTTTTTACTAAGTCTAGAAACCATCTTAGAAAGCTTCCGACTACGTGTAATTTTTACTCGTCTCGCTTACTGCATGCTGCATTTGTGAATGTCCGTTCGGGCGGGTTGGTTGACCGTCAGTGACGTTTTTAGCCAACCCATTGTTAACTCTAAATCGAAAGGAAGTCTAAAAAACAAGCGTCTACAAGCGTAAGAGTAATCGTAAAAATTTCGTTGATCGAAACAAGAGAAAAAATACTGAATACCTTTCGACAACGTCTTGGGCCAAGTAATATTATATGGAGAGATCTAT